GGAATGGCCCACATTAAAGCTGTGGTCATGTGAGTGAACTGGACCTCTTTAAAGAAGGCAGAAATTGGCATCAAAGAGAATAGCGGAGGGTACTGTCAGAGAGATTAGCAAAGAGGAATACAAGAGAAGGTGATTCTCAGATAGCTGAAGGGCATTTAGCTTCTGGAAAATCGGTTATCAGGTATCTCACCATCTAAGTGGGAGAGAGGTTGGCAAAACCAAGGCAGTGATACTAGTCTTAAAAACTGGGATATCAGTAAGGACCATGAAAATCAACTACGTTGTACAATGATAAATAAAATACAAAAAAATAAATTAATAAAAAGAAAATATACAATAAACTGTTATCTATAAAAAAAATTGGGATATCAGGCAGATTTCTAAGACACGTACTAAGTTTCATTACCATGCTAGACACTGGAGATAACAGGATGAATAACACATAGACCTTCCAGATAGAACTCACCGTCTTTTAGGTGAAGTCGGCAGATATACAAAATAAAACACTATGCAGTCTGAAGTGCTACAAAAGGCTAGGAGCAGAGTTAAGGGACAAACCATTTGAAACTACCTGTGGGAGCCTCTGAAGTCTTTAGAGAAGACGTGACCTTTGAATGGATTCTTGGAGGATGACTGAGTGTGCTTGCCAGAGAAACAGTCTTTCCCAGCAGAAGAAAAAGAGGCAAAGCATAGGAAGTAAAAACTAGTTACCAGATCTGGAAACAGGATCTCAGGATCGGTCAAAAACCCAGTTGTCAAAGTGACAGATGGGACCAGAGCCAGACTGTTAACACAGAGTCTTACTGCTGATTCCCAAAATATTGGGCTGTAATTTATAGTCTTCCTGCCTCAGGTGCAGGTGTGTTGTAGAAATTGAGGCAGAAATGAGGTTGAGCATGAGTCAAGTGGTTCCAGCATTTGGAAAATAAATGCTGAGAGATCGATAGGTACTGACATTAGCTAAAATCAGGGAAGAGAAGGGAAATTATTAGGGATTTACCATGTGATAAATTAATTTAAACTTCACAGCCATCTTCTAATGTAAAGTAAGCAGAAGAATGAAATAACCACTCCAGTCATCAAAAAGCAAAACTGACTAAGTTCCTAGAGAAAGAAAGCCTTTGCCGGCTGGTCTCCGGTGCTTCCTGCTATTATGCAGCCCTAGGGCCCCTTTAAAGGTACTTTCTAGAGGAGATTCAGCTACATGAGGAACAGTAAAGCTAGGCAACCACGCCAGTTGTCAGGCTCTTTTACCTGACGTTAATCCTGCACTTACTGAGCAGATGGTTGAGCTAGGGCTGGGTCTGGAGCTCCCAGACCCCTCAAGCCCATTCACAGACTGGGTCACAAACCCTTCACAAGCCAGACTGGGTCACCAGACCCCTCCATGCCAGGCTGGGTCACCAGATCGCTTCACGCAGGTCTATAAGCTAGGTAACTGGCCACATGGTCCTTGGAAGCTGCAGGTCTGATAAAAACATGGCCATGCAGGGCGGGCGCTGGAGGCAGTAAAAATACCAGGCAAAGCTGCACCATAGTGCAGCTGCACCTACTCCACCCACACACACAATGCTTACTGAACCGCCCTGAACTGACTCCCAGGCGAGGGCAGCCTGACCACATTGTTCCATTTTCCCCATAGGAACAGTTACTTCATCTTGGTTGCTACTGATTTTATTGCATTTTTTTTTCCAGCTAAAAGGATTGTCGAATTATATCGACGACAAGGAACAACAGATGTGTACAAGTTCCTTGTCCATTTATTTGGGTGGCTTCCTGGTGTGCAGTAAACGATACGTTAGGTTCCCAAGGATATACGTCATCAACACGATCTCCAATACTAAATGTTAAATCCACTCCCAATACCACAGGAAAAGCCATCAAACTTCGTAGGCCCTCCAAAGTCACGATGCACCCTGAAGTGATTCGATGTCCTCCTTGAGGAGTCTCCGTTTTCAAGATTTTAGCCGCCTAATTGGCAACTTAACTTCCATCCACATTGTCACCACCTCGGTCCTCGTCCACATGTACTCTCGATATCGCACCTTCCCACCCTAGCCGGACAAGCAAGGAGGGCGTCGCGGCTCGGGACGGGACCAGCCTCCGCGATGCGGAAAGAAGGGGAAGGGGAAAGGCGTCCTCTGTTTCTGAGGGCGCCCTTGCGGAGGAATCCGGAGGCGTCCCGAGGCCGCGTGGAGACCCCGTCAGGCCCTTCCGGGCCCTGCTCGGGAAAACGCGCCCCGAAGCCACGGTCCCGGGTACGGGGTCCGCCGCCGAGCCGAGCTGGCCCCGCCCGCGGGCTCCAAGCCTCGCTCACTCCCGAGGGCGGGGGGTGTGTGAGCGC